GGTCGAGAAGGGAGAGGGTTGACATGTTGTGGGGTTGTTAACCAATGTCATAAAACAATATGTGTACTACTGTTTCATGAGGAACTATTTGTTCTGTAAGCCTTCACCTGAAGTACAATAAAAAAAAAAAGTGGTAGAAGAAATTATTTTGTCTGAGACTTTGTTGCTTCAGTGCCATGACCCAAGAACTCCAGTGGAGTAAGGTTTCTGATGTGAAGGGAAGAATATTTATGAACAGGTTCTATAACATTTTGAAATTCTAAAAGGGATGATGGAATAAGATGCCAAAACAACTTCTTGAATAATAAGGCAATTTACACCCCAAAATACCAGCCAGGTGCTTTTTTTGTCGTTTCTCAATTTCCTTTTCCCTTCATTTCCATTTTACTAGGATCCTTTGTCTCTTTTCCTCTCCTTGACCTTCTCAGCCACCAGACAAGATTGGGTAGTGATTTTGTGGAGGTTATCTCAGAGTGTAACTCTTTGAGTATAACTCAGAGAGAGACACATGAACACAGGAACCCCAGTAAGATCATGCTTTGTTTTTATTATTATCCCTGTCAGCTCTCATTTTTTGATTTAAGAATTAAATCTGTTTTTGAGAACAAAGATCTCAGGTCAACTTTAGAAGTTTTTTAGTCTACCCATTTTACTAACTTCAGATCAAGCTAAACCTTTTATAATTATTCTTTAATAGTCCTAACCCAAAACCAAACCCATTGCCATTGAGGATTTTGACACATAGCGACCCTAAAGGACAGAGTAGAACTACCCCATGGGGTTTCCAAGGCTGTAATCTTTAGGGAAGCAGACTGCCGCATCTTTCTTCCGCAGAGCAGCTGGTGAGTTCGCACTGCCAACCTTTCGGTTAGCAGCCGAGAGCTTAACCACTGCACCACCAGGGCTCCTTTTAATAATCCTAGAGGCCCCTAAAGCTGATTGGAGCTTTAGCCAGGGGAATTTTATAACTTGATTTGTGCCCGACTGCCAACAAAGTGTAACATCAAGGACCCAGTGGATTTTATTTTAGTGTTTGAACAAAATGCCCGTTCTTTATCACCTGGGAGAGAGGATCAAAGCCTGGTGAGTGCGCTCACAGTCTCCCCAAACCCCTAGTGGTGGTGAGAGGTGTTGATGGGCTGTGATGAAATTAAGATAGAAGTGGCAGCTACAACTTTCAGTCAACAAAGGTACTTGTTTATGGGTGTAATCCCTGCACCCAAAGTCACAGCTGAGCCCTCTGTTTCAACTTCTGAAATTTCACATCCTTCCCTTCTGTTTTAGTACCCTTAACACTCTCATTATCGATTTTCCTTGTTTATTACATTAACTTCCTAAATGGTCTTTCTACCTCCAGATTTTTTTCTTCTCTTAAAGTTTTCTTCTTCTCATTTCTCATTGCTTTCCAAACCATAAATTTAGTCAAGCCACTTATCTCCTCAAAATTGTATGTCTCCCAGCTGCATAAAATCCAAATCCCCTTGCTTATCATTCATCTAGCTTTCTAGTCTACATGTAATTCTCACATCCATATGCTTGTTCAGGCTAAGGTAAATGCCTTTTCTACTTTTTCTTTAAGGTCCAGTTTAGATGCCATCATGAAATCCTGAGTCTAGCAGTAACTCTTTCCTCCATCCTACTTATGTTTTTGACTGTCTTTACTATAGCACTTACCAAATTCTCTTTATACTTGTATACATATCTGACTTCCCTACTAATTTGTAAGTTCCTTAAGGAAAGATACTTTGTCTTCGTTTCTGTAACTTCCGCATACCTGTATGTGAGAGAACTGTCCCTCTTATGGTTTTGAATTAAAATAGACTTTAATAAGAAAGTTAAATGACAGGAAAGAAATAGTATGGAAATAGTCATGCTATCGCTAAAATCTTGAGGAAACGTTACTTTAGAATATATGCATTCTATGGTCTTTATTTTTAAAGAGTTGATAAATTTATCCTCATCAATCATTTCTTTATTTGGGTAAACAGTGGCATAAATTCTATAGAGTACTTTGAGTTTCTTATCTGCACTCAGCCAGCTCTCTGGATGTGGGACCATGACTAGAATCGAAGGCCACCTAGCTTCCTCTCCTGTGTGCTGGGTATCTTCATACTTTTCTTCACTTCTCTCTCTGTCCATTTTCTTTTACTCTCTACCATATTCTTAAGACAAAATCAAACTTGATGAGTTCAAATTAGTACCAGAAATCCAAACCAAAGCCGTTGCTGTCGAGTCGATTACAATTTATAGCAACCCTATAGGACAGAGTAAAACTGCCCCATAGAGTTTCCAAGGAGTGACTGACTAGTGGATTCAAACTGCTGACCTTTTGGTTAGCAGCAGAGCCCTTAATCACTGCGCCACCAGGGCTTCAGGAATACAAATAATATGCTGACTTGATGAAAAGCTTTAATGAAGTGTACTTATGAAGTTTAATTAAAGTTTTTAATAAAAATATTTTTTTGTTTTGTTTATTGTTGTAGTTTAAGTGAAAGTTTACATTTCAAGTTAGTTTCTCATACAAAAATTTATACATATATTGTTATGTGACCCTAATTGCTGTCCCTATACTGTGACAGCACACTCCTCCTTTCCACCCCTGATTTCCCATGTCCATTCAACGAGCTCCTAACCCTCCCTGCCTTCTCATCTCACCTCCGGATAGAAGGTATTTAGTCTCATGTATCAACTTGAGCTAAGAAGCACACTCTTCACAAGTATCTATTTTATGTAAAGATATTCTTTATTTATATATAAATTTTATTTTTTTGGTGAAAATACGTACAGCAAAACATACTCTTAATTCAATGATTTCCGCATGTATAACTGAGTTACATTGATTACATTCTTAAATTGTACATCCATTCCGTTGTCCTTTTCTAAATTATTCTACCACCATTAAGATAACCTGACTGCCACCTAAACTTCTCATCTAACCTTTTGAGTTACTCTTGTCAATTTGATCTCATATAGATAATTCTTTAAAAGAGCACAGTGCTCAAGGCAGACATTCTTATTAAGCCAAACTATTGTTTGGTTGAAAGATGAATTCAAGGGATAGTTTCGCTTTAAGGTTTAAAGATTATTTCAGGGAATAGTTTTTTTGACACTTTATTTTTTAGAGCAGTTTTATGTTTACTGAAAAATTTCAAAGCAAGTACAGAGAGTTCCCATATACCCCTTTCTCCCTCTGCATATAGCTTTTTTTCTATTATTAACATCTTGAGTTAGTGTGGTACGTTTGTTACAGTTGATAGGCCAGTGTTGATACATTATTAACTGAAGTCCATAGTTTGCATTAGGATTCACTCTTTGTTTTGTACAGTTCTGTAGTTTTTGACAAATGCATAATGCCATGTATCCTCCATTAGAGTATCATGCAGAATAGTGTCACTACCCTTAAAATGCCCTGTGATCCACCTGTTTCATCCTTCCCCACCCCAAACCCCTAGAGTTTAACTTAATTTTTACAAAAGTGCCACATAAATGTCTGTAGCTGGGTCAATATTTTAAATCCCTAAAGATTTTGAGTGTTGACATTTTAAGGACACTTTTTAGTGGGTAGTAAGCCAGTGGGAACATCGTGAGCTAAGATCTTACCCAACTGATCAAATTTTTTATTTTAAAAAATAATTTTTAAGAAAGAGCATTTTAACTGCCAAAAAACCTAAATGTTACTCCATAGAATATGAACTCAGTGTTTTATTTTTCAATACGATGTAGCAATGCAGTTTTATTTGAATTATGTTGAAACAGGATAATTCTTGTTCTTTATATGTTAATATTTGAATGTATTAAACATTATTTAAATTCTGAAGTGTAGTTTTATTCTTTATTCTTTGGAGTAAAGTTGCCTTTTTAATGGCTGTGGCCATCGGATATTTTAAAAGTAAATGCCTTTTTCCTCAGTTTTTTTTTTTTTTTTTAATGTGACAGCATGGAGGAATCTATGTAAAACGAAGTGCCAAATTCTGTGAAAAAGAGATGAGAGACAAGCTGCAGAGCCACGTGAACGCAGGAACTCCAGTAAGATTATGCTTCATGTTTATTATTATCATCAACTCTCATTTTCTTGATTTGAGAATTGATTTAAAATTTAAGAATTGTTTTGAAAATATATTATCTCATGTATAATAAGTAATTCAGAGGTTTTATTTTTTTTGGCAACAGAAACTGTCTAAATAGAGATGAGCAGTTCTTTTTGGCCATCAGAAGAATTACTGCGATGATTAAATCCTTTGCTGGTGGTTGTCAATATTGACATTAAAGTGGAATAAAAAGAACACTTGATGTCTTTTAGAGTTTGTAAATAGAAAATAGAACTGTACTTGTAATCTGATACTTAAGCTACTTTAAGAGCTCATCTAACTCTGCTCTTCTATAGTATCAGATTTAGTTTTAGAAGAAGCAACTCTTTTCTATCAATATAAATTTGGATTTCTTCTATGTAACTGAGTTATTTCAAAGGCCAAAAAAGTATGAATAGTTACAAACAGAATCATTCAGGTTCTTTTTATAAAGAATTCTTTTATAAAACTTTGCTCAAAAAAAAAGGAATCTCAATTTTCTATTTGAAGAATGCTAATTGCTGCCAAATGACTTTTCCCACGACTCCCTCCTAGGACAAAGCAGCATAATTGTAACGATTCCTTGTACTTTATCTATCAGTGCAGACACGTCTTCTGTTCTGTTGTTCAGGAACTTTATTCATGTGTCCAGGTTCTTTTCTTTCTTCTTTCTGGCCCTCTCCTTCACCTCCATCTTTCCTGCTCCTCCCTCTTTCCTCCTCGCTCTTCTCTTCTCCTCCATTTCTGCTTTTTTTCCCCGTCTCCTCACCCAGGCTCATAGGCGGCAGCCAGAGCTCATATTTAAAGAAAACGTTCCCACGTCAGATGGTGAATTGCCCTAACATTAATGTTTTTTACTTATAAACATTTTCTAACTTTCGCATTATGAAATTGCGTCCTCTTTGGGGACGACCTAGAGTAAGATGCAATGACATGAACAGTGTCCTTTAGCCTATTACAGCTTATCCTTGAGGACACAGCATAATGTTTGAATGGGTCTGTTTAGTCTGAAATAACTTGGGAAAATTTGGGCAGAATTGGAGTTATTGTTTGTGTATAGATTGCCATAAAATATAATAGGTTGGCAATATGTAGATCTACTGTCCTTTAAAAAATATTTAAAATTAAAAAAACGTTAATTTATGCATTAAAGAGTCCGTCCCACTTCTGTCCTCTAGCCATCTAGTTGCCTCCAACCACAGACAACTACTGTTTTTGTGTATTCTTTGGAGGCATTGTATATGTCAAAAAACAATCATAGTTCCTTTTTACATAAACATTAGTGTTCTGTATATACTTTTTTCACCGTGTATTTTTTTTAAAGTAAATATAGTTGAGATTTTTCATGTTAGCGTCCATAAAGAGTTCATTTACGTTTTTTTAAATGGCCATATGGTATTATATTTATCTACTGTAATTTATTTCACCAGTCCCTTATTGAAGGACATTTAGATTGTTTCTAAACTTTTTTAGCATCCTTCTCAAGGTAAAATTTAAATACTATACAATTCATTTGTTTTAAGTGTATTATTCAATGATTTTTACCACATTTATAGAGTTATGCAACCACCATCACAACCCAGCTTCAGAACATTTCCATAACCTCAAAAAAATTTCTCATGCTTACTTACGGTCAGTCGTCATTTCTATCCCGGACAACCACTAATCTGCTTTCTATATGGATTGTCTTTTTTGGACATTTTATATACATTGAATTCTACAGTATAGTCTTTTTTTGTCTGGCTTTCATTAACTAAACGTTTTTGAGGTTAATTCATTTTGCACACGTATCAGTTGTTCACTCCTTTTTATTACTGAATTGTGTTCTGTTGTACAGATATACCACATATTGTTTATCCATTCACCAGTTAATGGACATTGGGGTTGTTTCTACTGTTTGATCGTTAGAAATAATGCTGCTATGTACGTTTGTGTGTGTACGTTTGTGTGTATACGTCTTTGTGTAGACATGTGTTTTTACTTGTTTTGGATAGGTAGATACCTAGCTGTGGAATTGCTGAATCATATGGTAAAATTATTTTTAAGAAACTGCCGAACTGTTTTCCAAAGTGGCTGTACCATTTCACATTCCCATCAGCAATGTATAGGGCTCCAGTTTTCCTACATCCTCAGCAACATTTCTTTTTCAGTATGATTACCCAATTGTTCCAGCATGATTTGTTGAAAACAGTATTGTTCTCCACTGAATTATCTTGGCACCGTTTTTAAAACTGAACTGGATTCATTTCTGGATACACTCTTCTGTTCCACTGATGCCAGGACCACATTGTCTTGGTTAACATAGCTTTATAGTAAGTCTTGAAACCAAGGAGGATAAGTTCTCTAACTCTGTTCTTGTCGAAATTGTTTTGGCCATTTTAAGTCCTTTGTGTTTTCATATAAATTTTAAGTTTAGCTTGCCAGTTTCTACAGAAAGCCTGCTGTTATTTTTATTGATTTGGATTGAGTCAAATTTATAGATCCATTTTACATTTCATCTGTTAACGGGCATTTAGGTTGTTTCCACCTTTTTGCTATTGTGCATAATGCTGCAGTGAACATGGGTGTGCGTATGTCTATTCGTGTGACAGTTCTTATTTCTCTAGGATATATTCTTAGGAGTGGGATTGCTGGATCATATGGTATTTCTGTTTCTAGCTTTTTAAGGAAACACTGCATCATTTTCCAAAATGGTTGTACCATTTTGCATTTCCACCAGCAGTGCATAAGAGTTCCAGTCTCCCTGCAGCCTCTCCAACATTTGTTATTTTCTGGGTTTTTTTTTTTTTTGATTCATGCCAGTAATGTCAGGGTGAGACGGTATCTCATTGTGGTTTTGATTTGCTTGTCTCTAATGTCTAGTGATTGAGAGCATTTCCTCATGTATCTGTTAGTCACCTGAATGTCTTCTTTGGTGAAGTGTCTGTTCATATCCTTCTTCCATTTTTTAATTAGATTTTTTGTCTTTTTGTTGTAGAGGTGTTGGATTTTCCTGTAGGTTTTAGAGATTAGACCTTTGTAGGATTTGTAATAGCCAAAAATTTTTTCCTGGTCTGCAGGTTCTCTTTTTACTTTTTTGGTGAGCCTCAGTGTTTAATTTTTAGAAGATCCTAGTATCTAGCTTATCTTCTGGTGTTTGTGCATTGTTAGTTATGGTTTGTATCCTGTTTATGCCATGTATTAGGGCCTCTAGTGTTAACCTTATTTTTTCATCTGTGATCTTTATAGTTTTTGGTTTTATATTTAGGTCTTTGATCCATTTTGAATTAGTTTTTGTGTATGGTGTGAGGTATGGTTCCTGTTTCATTTTTTTGCAGATGGACATCCAGTTTTGCCAGCACCATTTGTTAAAAAGACTATCTTTTATCTTTTCCCCATTTGATGGACTTTGGGCCTTTGTTGAAGATCAAGTGACTGTAGGTGAATGGATTTACATCTGGGTCAGAAATATTTCTTGAATTAACCCTGAATGATTTCTTGCTTTCTTGCTGATCATTAATGTTCCTTTTAATTAAACATCTAAGAGATAGGAAATAATGCCACATGACTTTTTGTTAACTATTCAAATCATAAATCATCTTGTTTATAAATATAGAGCCACATGACTTTTTGTTAACTATTCAAATCATAAATCATCTTGTTTATAAATATAGAGCTAAAAGCTCATAACCATCAGTAATTGCTTTCATGACTTTGAATACAAACTTTACTGATGTAAAGTGTATTTCCAGGTTGTTGAATTTGTGGGGTTTGGAACTAATTTTAATATTTTTCTTCCTGTTTTTCTTTTAGTTGTTGGAATATAATGAGAAATTTATCGATTTTTTTCCCTCAACTTTACCCACTTTTCTACATTTTCTTGACAGCTCTGGCCATCCTTTATTATCAAATACAGAGATACATAACACAATATTTTAATTTCTAAGTTAGGCAAAGATAATGGGTTCTAAACACTGTCTATATGGATCAATAAAAAGCTTGTATAATTGCATGGAGCTAAAGATGCAAAATTACAGAGATACCATTTTACCAGTTT